CTTTGTTGGTATGTGGTGCTGAGGATCGAACCCGGGCCGCACGCATGCCAGGCGAGCGCGCTACCGCTTGAGCCACATCCCCAGCCCTCTTTTTATTTTTTATTTTGAAACAGGATCTAACTAAATTGCTGAGGCTGGCCTCAAACCTGTGGTCCTCCTGCCTCAGCCTCCCAAGTGCCTGGAGTCGCAGGCCTGCACCTGCACCACCACACCCGGCTTGGCCTTTTGCTTTTCTTTCTGGTGCTGGGGACTGAACCCAGGGCCTTGTGCATGTGAAGCAAGCCCTGTACCAACTGAGCCATATCCCAGCCCTGGGCTTTGTTTAAAGGTAATCATTGTCCAAAGTTAAAGACCACAGAGGGCTGGGCGCAGAGGCACAGGCCTGAAATCCCAGGCACTCCACAGGCTGAGGCAGGAGGGTCACACATGTGAGGGCAGCCTCGGCCACTTAGCAAGATCATGTCCTAAAGTAAAAAGTAAAAAGGGCTGGGGCTGGGGCTCGCGGAGTACCTCTGGGCTCAATCCCCAGAACCCCAACAAACAAACAAACCAAAAACCCCAAGTGAACAGGAAGGAAAGGCCTRGGGGGGACAGAAGGGAACTGAGAGGCCGGGGCAAGGCCGCCCCCTGGTGGCTGCTGTCTTGGCTTCTCCCCTGGGAACGTGGGGAGCAGGCACAGTGGGTGGATGCCCTTCCACCCAGGCGTTGCTGTCACACACAGCTGTGTCCACAGCGGCACTGGCATCCGTGTGGCAGTTGGGCAGGAGTGTGCGTGGCCGCAGCTGGCACCTTGCGGATGGCTGTTTACGTTGCTCCTTGTCCCCTTGTCCCCAGCATGGTGGCAGCAACATTAAGCCTCCGCAGCCATGACAGAGTCGCTGCTGCGGCCGACAGGCTYGCTCTGCACCCCTTCTCCCGATTGCTGGATGGAATGGCTCTGTGCACGGTYCAGGTGGACGGGCGGGTCCAGTCTCCATGTGCAGTAGGAACGACCCTCTGCATTTGCAGGACATTGTTCCTATTCAAGTTTCTTTTCCATAAAGATTAAATTTGCTTTATAACAAGGGACAGGAGGAGTAGCTATCCACACACCCCAGGTGTCCCCGGCCAGGGGCATCAGCAAGGAACACTGTCTCGGGCCCCACCCAGGCCCACGGCCTCAGATGTGGGGACATCCTGTGACTCTGCTGACTCCTGAGCCGTGGAGGCTGGTTTGGACTGAAGCTGGAGGCTGCCCTTGGTCCCTTTTCTGCTCCTGTGTGCTGAGCTGAGTGGACCCTGACTTTCCCGTTTAAAGTGACGCAGGCCAGGCTGAGGTCCAGAAAGGCCTCCTGGTCCAGGGTCAGGCCCGGGCTCAGGCTGTGTGCCTGTAGGAAACTCCTGATTGGACCCGAGGGATTATTTTGTCACCTGTCTGGTGGCAGTGCCTAGGGAGTGAGGTGCTAATTTGCACGTTGGGGAGTGTCTGGGCTGGTTAGTGAACTTGCCTTGAGGCCAGGGGGAACACTCCTCTCACCGCCGACCCTGCCTCTCATTTCAGGTGTCATCAGATGGATGACTTCGGACCTGCCAAGAACCTCATGACCATGTGCTTCACCTACTACCACCTGGGTGAGACGGGGCTCGGCCTAGGCAGAGCGCCAACCTGGAAAGCTGAGACCGTCAACTGCCAATGCGGTCGCTCRGAAAGGAAAGCCTGGGCTTCCAGGAGCGGGCAGGGGACTCCTGAGAGGGGGGTGGCCGCACTGAGGTCGGGCTGGCTGTCCCCGGAGCGCAGCCAGGARCCCCACAGTGGAGCAGGAACACTGGGCCTGAGGGTCTCAGCTTTATGTCATCCATCTCAGCAAATCATGACGCAGCACGGGCTGTCGGGAGGGGAGCAGCCGGGGCCGGAGCTGGAGGAGTTGGGGGTGCTGAGCTGTGAGGGCTCTTCTGGCTCATTGCATTGCAAGTTTCTGCTGGAGCTTGGGGGCCCCTGCTGAGCTGCGTGGGCTGCGACAGAGGCTGCTCTGCCCTGTGAGTGTGGTGCTGGGACCCCCTGGGGAGGGTGGGGCAGGCAGAGCAGGGCCTCCCTCCCTCCTCACCGAGAGCCCGCTCCTGCAGCACAGGGCCTTCTCTGGGGCAGGCTCCCGGTCCTCCTGCCCCCACAGACCACTCTCTCCATGCCCCATGGTCAGTTGACAGGGCACCACGGGGCAGGCCCCAGACGCCAGGCCTTTGGCCCAGGTGGAAGTCCTCCATCTCAAAGCCTGGCTGAGCTGCTGCCTGGCCCACGTCTGTGGAGGACCCAGCCCTGACCTGGGARKGTGSCTCSSCCTGAGGGTCACTTTGGCCTGGACRGTGCCGGGCCTGCAGCCTGCTGCTGCCCTAAGCAGGGTGTTCTGCCTGGCCTTGGTGCACACTCCTCCGGCCTTCTCTTCCATCCCGTGTTCACCGTCACAGGCCTGGCCAGGTGCCCTGGAGACTGCCCTGACCCTGCACTGTCCTCAGGGCCCAGGGAGGACCTCTTTTTCCTCTCTCTCACCTCACACTTTGCCCACTACCAGTCAGGATTCCTGCCATGTTCCCCAGCTCCCTGTGTGAGTCTCTCCCTCCTTCCGTCTCCTCCTCCTCCTCCTCCTGCTCCTCCCCCTCCTCCTGCTCCTCCTCCTGCTCCTCCTCCTCCTGCTCCTCCTCCTGCTCCTCCTCCTACTATTAGTCCCACTCCTCCCCCTCCTTCTCCTCCCCCTCCTTCTCCTCCCCCTCCTCCTCCTGCTCCCCCTTCTCCTCTTGCTCCCGCTTCTCCTCCTGTTCCCCCTCTTCCTGCTCCTCCTCCTCTCTTGCTCCCCTTCCTCTTCCTGTCCCCCCCCCACTCCTCCTCCTTCTTCTACCACCAGGACTTGAACCCAGGGGCACTTTACACTGAGCTACCCCCCAGCCTTTATTATTTTTATTTTGAGACAGGGCCTCGTAGTTACTTAGGGCTTCACTAAGTTGCTGAGGTTGGTTTGGACTTGTGATCCTCCTGTCTCAGCCTCCTGAGTCTCTGGGGTTACAGGCGTGGCCACTGCACCCCGCACAGCTTTCTGGTTCTACGGGGATGGCTCCTGCTGTCTCCTTCCTCTCTCCTAGTTCTTGGCCGACTCCCTGGTAGTTGCATAGGAACCGTCCTCAGAGGGAAGAGCAGCCCCTTCCTTGTCCAGCCGCCCAGTCAGGGAGACTGAGGACGTGCTCTCCCCCCACCCAGGCGGCCCCGGTGTGCCCAGGGGCTCCTTTCTGGCCCTCAGCCATCTGGGCTGTGCCCACCTGCTCCTCACTCCCCCCTCCTCTCTCTAGGCAAGCCGCACCAGCTCCCCTCGGAGCCCAGGGAGAAGCCCGCGGGCAGCATCGACTCCTACCTGAAGTCCGCCAACAGCTGGCTGGCAGAGAAGAAGGACATTGCCGAGCGGCTGCTGAAGAACACGGAGAACGTGAAGGGCTTCTTTGGGGGGCTGGAGACCAAGCTGAAGGGACCCCTGGTCAGGAAGAATGAGTGAGTGTCCTGCGTCGAGGCCTCGTGCCTGGGAGACAGAGGCAGGGCCCCTGTCCAGCCCTGGCCATCTCGGGTCCTGCACTGCTCCTGAGGAGCGCAGCGCTGCCCAGTGTGACTGTCCACTCTGCAGAGCTCCCCCTGGTGTCAAAGGCTGTGACACACAGGGATGTCCTGGCAGTGTACTTCKGGGACCAGGAGGAGCATGGGCAGCTGAGGGTTGGCCGCAGGGACATCACACACCTGTCCCTCCTTGCTCCTCCCCGGCAGTGAGTGGGGTTCATGGAACACAGGGCAGCCATGGGACTGGACAGAAACTCGAGGCCCTTGACGACGGGTGGGGCGGTGGCAGGCGCCCAGGCTGAGACACACAGGAAGGGCACGTCCCCACCAGGAGCCACAACCACAGAGGCCCCTGACCGCCCCCGGCTCSGTGCAGGTGGCCTGGTCTTGTCCCGCTGGGCCACACAGTTCAGGTGCAGAGACCACAGCTCGGAGCCGCCTCAGCTCCACATTCCCAGGGCCCAGCCGCCCTGGGAGCGTCTTTTCCGCAAACGGCTGAATGCCCCCAGCCCCGCCTCACCAATGGGAGTGGTTTGACGTGGGCCTCCTTTGTCATGACTGTGACCTTTCTTCCTCAGGGAAGATGAGAACAAACCCAAGGACAAGCAGCCCAAGACTGGTGAGGAGCGACCCTGGAGCTGCTGGGGAGGCGGGGCCTGGAGGGAGGCGGGGCCTGAGGGAGGCGGGGCCTGAGGGAGGAGGGGCCTGAGGGAGGCGGGGCCTGGAGGGGCGGGGCCTGAGGGAGGAGGGGCCTGAGGGAGGAGGGGCCTGAGGGAGGTGGGGCCTGAGGGAGGAGGGGCCTTAGGGAGGCGGGGCCTGAGGGAGGAGGGGCCTTGGTGGAGACCCGAGGGGCAGGGCCCAGAGGAGGGGGACACCGTGGTGAGGCTTGGGGCCGGGTCCTGGGACAGGACTGAAGGGCTGGGGCCGGGACAGACCTTGTAACCCAGACCCCTGCAGGGGTCTGCACCCACCCACCGTTGAGGGGCAGCAGGAAGCAGCAGCAGTAAATCCCAGGGGCTTAACTGGGCCCCCAGGAGCCGGCCTTCGGTCCCTGTCTGGTCTATTTTCTTATGAATTTCTGAGGAAGGGCCACTTCTCTAAGGAGTCGGCAGAAACCCAAGTCCCTGACTCCAGGACTCTAGCCCACGCATTCCTGGGAGGGGTGGCCCCTGTGGGTTTCCCTGGCCTTTTGGGGGAGGGGCTGTGGTGGCTGCTGACACCTGCCCAAGGCGCTGCCCTCAGCCTCTCTCATCCTCCTGCAGTGACCGTGTTCARCCCCGAGGACGAGCAGAAGGGGGAGAAGATCTACCTGTACACACACCTGAAGCAGCAGCCCATCTGGTAAGGCGCCTGGCTGGAGGGCAGTGCCCCTCTGATGGCCTCTGAGTGCTGGACTGTGGCTCAGGACACCGAGCCAGGGAGGCCGCGCTAGGCCGCAGACCGCCTCCCTGCAGGGTCCCCTCCTCTGGGCCCTCCCTCAGAGGTCACTGCTCGGCTGCAGTAGAACTTCCCACACTAGACGAGGGCCCTGTGAGGGGGGTGGCCAAGACGTGCTGCGGAACCCAGGGCAGAGGCCTGGGCAGGGGCTTCGGGGGACGCCCCCATCGGGCTGGACCTGAGCCCCCCCAGGCAGCAGAGCAGGGGAGAGGCTGGACCTGGCCAGGTGGCACCTTGAGGGACGGGGCTCCGCCGGGTCTGGGCCGGGCTGCTGTGTTGTCTGGACGGGGCAGATGCGTCCTGAGGGACCAGATGGCAGACCTTTAGATTCTGTGGGCTGCGTGCTCTCCACGGCCACCACAGCCAGGCCCCTTAGCTCTGTCAGTGAGTAGCCGGGCGACCTTCATCCACAGAAAGAGGCGGGGCCTCCTGTGCCGCCCTGTGCCGCCCTGTGCCGCCCTGTGCCGCCCCGACCTTCCGGGAAGACATCCCGTCCCTGTGCCTGCCTTGTGCAAGGCGCGTCCCTGCTGATTCCCTTTTATGTCGTGAGACGCTGTTCTGTGGAAGAGCTGGACCCGTGTCCTCTAGGAGCCTCACCAGGAGGCAGAGAGGACACAGCAGCCTGCAGCTGCCCCCAGGCCCCAGGCCACCTGACTTCACGCCCCACAGCAGCTCCGTGGGCCCCCCGGCCCATTCCTGCCTCAGGAAGAGGCAGCCCCAAGAGCCCCGGGGACCCCCAGCACCCCCTCCTCAGCTCTGCCTCCCTCCCAGAGCTGCACAGGCACCRGGCGCCCGGCTTCCCCACCAGGTGGCAAGACGCTGGGTGGGACTGTCGGTGCCAACCGTGTCTCCCCGCAGGCACACGCTGAGGTTCTGGAACGCGGCCTTTTTTGACGCYGTCCACTGTGAGAGGAGAAAGCGCTCTCCCACCACCAGGTAGGAGCCAAGTGTGGTCCACTCTCCTGGGAAAGAGGACGGGGCAGCTCTSGTCACATTTTCTGAAGAGGAGAGCAGAGGAGTGGCCCGGCTGCTGGCCTCTGTCCTCCCTGCCCGGCCTGTAGCCCGCCCACTGCCGGAGGCCCGTGCTCGGCTTCGAGGGGTCGCTCAGCCTGCATGAGTGCTTCTGTCCCGGGACCCTGGCATGACTGGCCTGAACCTCCCCGAAATGCACATGCCCTCGGAATGAGGCCTTCAGGACCCCCGCCCACCCTGCTGCTCGCTCTGCGGGTCCGGACCCTGGGGACAAGCCGCGGTGACAGGGTCCCGGGTGGAGGGTGGCCACCACCCTGACTCTGGAAGCGCACCTTCTGCCTTCAGCTCACCCTGTGCTGAGGGTGACCTGCCCCTCAGAGGGCCCGAGAAACACCAGGAAGTGCAGGGTGAAGGTCGGCGCTGACTCACCCCAGGGGACAGAGCCCCTCTCCCCCTGGCTGGACGCTGACTCCCCAGGGGACAGAGCCCCTCTCCCCCTGGCTGGACGCTGACTCCCCAGGGGACAGAGCCCCTCTCCCCCGGCTAGAGCGAAAGAAGGCTGCCACCCACTCGCAGCCCCCACACGGAGGGGCAGCAGTCCAGGGAGGACAGGCCAGGTCTGAGTGGCGCCCCAGTCACCTGGCTTCAGACTCTGGGTCTCTCGGAGCTCTGATCCCTGGTTAATGAAGCCGTCCCCTCCTGTCACTGCGGGGGCCCACACCTCCCCGGAGGAGAGGAGCCAGAGGTGTCTGTGTGGAGACTCTGTGCAGGGACAGCTGACCCTGGAGGGGAGCAGGGTGCCGCCCTGGCCCTCGCAGTCCGTGGCTGCCTCCTGAGGGCAGAGGGAGCATGGGGGGCCTGACCCTGACGCTGCCCGCGGGCACCGGGGAGCCTCGGCCCTGCCGAGGAGCTGAGGGAAAGGCCGACGTGCCCAGGGATGGGCCTGGCCTCTAGCTTAGCTCTCTGCCAGGAAGCGGCCTGTCCCGGCGTCCCGTCCTCCTGCCCGCTGYCCACCCGCGAGCCCGCCTGTCCTCACGCACACATCTTGCAGGACTGTGACATGTTCCTTTGTTCCTTTGTTTACCTGTTTCCGCTGCCTCCAGAGGGGATGCTGGACAGCAGGAGAAGAGGTGTGTGTCCGCCTAACAGACCGGGGCCGCGGAGGCCGCTGCAGRGCGGGAGGGCCCCTGGGGAGGCCAGCCAGGGCGAGGAGCTGGGCCTGAGGTGTCTGTGTGGAGACCAGTCGGTGGGCCCTGAGCCCTGTGTGCAGGCACAGCTGGCGCTGGAGGGGAGGAGGGCGCCGCCTCGGCCGGCCCTCGCAGTCCGTGGCCGCCTCCTGGGGACAGAGGGAGCATGGGGGGCCCTGACCCTGACCGTGGAGACGGCAGGACCTGCAGGGCACAGCGCGTCTCGGGGAAGAAAGAACAGTGACCGCAGAGAGCCCGCCCGCTTGGAGGGGTCTCGCTGTCCACCTGTGCTGTCCACCTGGCCCACCCAGGCCAATGGTGAGACCACAGCTGGGCCTCCCTCAGGGGGCAGGGTGCCGGGGCCAGGGGCCTGGGGACACTCAGAAGCACAGCGTCCTTTTTTCCAGCCCCGGGTGACGGGGAAGCTGTGTGGGTGGGGGGTCCCTTGGAAAAAAGCCAGGTGGGGCTGTCCCCAAGAGCTCCCGTGGCTGGAGCCCGAGTGGCCCGATTGGGAGCCCTGTGAGGTCCTCTGGGTGACAGAGACCTAGTTGCTGATTCGGTGTTGGTTTTGCGGGTGGCTGAGAAGTCCTGCTGCCGCGCAGCCTCGGTGTGTCCTTGAGACGGCACTTAGGCACCACGGAGGCCTCCGCGGCTGCCTCCTGGGGACAGAGGGAGCATGGGGGGGCCTGACCCTGATGCTGCCCGGGGGCAACGGGGTGGTGCCCCTGCCCTGTGGTCCCTCGGGGTGACAGCCTCCCACCGACAGGCCTCCTGGCATCACAGCCCAGGAAGGCTGGGCCCAGCCTGGCCTCCCTGAGAGCCGCTGCCGCTGCCCAGCCCTGCTGAGCCRCAGCCGGCCTCCTAGGCCTCCGGGGCCTCGGGCCTCCCCACAGATTCGAGGGGCACAGCCCTGGGTGGGTTCCACTCCTCTGACCCACCCTGCGCCACCCAGGCCCCAGGCTGCCCAGGCCAGCAAGATGACCTCTCCTTCAGCAACCTCCACTGTCATTCTGTCACCTCTGACCCCCTTTCAGAGGGGCTTTCTGTGGGCGAGTGTGAGTCCCTCCAGACCCCACAGGCCGGAGTGCAGTGCGCAGGGCTGGCCTCCCGCGGGGATTGAGGCCAGCTCTCAGGAAGCAGCTGAGTCCCCAACTGCTAGGGGCCAGGTCCTCTCCGGGTTCTAGTCTCACAGCAGGAGGGAGAACCACCTCCTCGTGGGTCCGGAGCAGGAGCCTCTGGGCTGCTGTGCTGAACACCCGGGGAGCCATTCCCCTGTGGCGGGATGTGCAGTGCCCTCCCTGCACGACTGTACCTGATGGCCAGTGGTAGGGCAGGATTTGTGTGGCTGCCAGCCCTCAGGGGGACTATGAGAGGGAACTCAGTCGGGAGGAGTATAAGGTGGGACTCGGTGCGCCCCGGGGGTCTCTGGGCCCTGCCCTCAGAGGCTGGAGAAGTGCTGCAGCCCTGGAGCCTCTGGCCGAGGGGTGGAGAGGAGCGGAGCTGTGTCCTTCTGTCCGTCCATCCCTGGCCCTTGTTGTCCTGACTGTTCTCTGGGCAGTTTCTGCTCCTTGGCTCTTCCTCTCAGCGTCCAGTCCCCTTTTAGGGGAAAACAGGCTAAAATGAACTTGCCCATCTGCAGCGGCTCCTCTACCTGCTTCTCCGACCGCCTGGTGCCCGGGTGCAGGGTCTGACCAGGGGCAGGGCAGGGAGGGGTGGCCCCAGTCCCCTGGGCAGAGGCTGGAAGGGAGGAGCAGTGACATGACCGGACCTCCACGGCAGGGTGCAGRTGGGCCTTACCCGGGACCCTCTGGGTCCTGCCCTGGACCCCCTTCAGCTCAGTGCTCCCTCAGGGACAGGGCAGGCGATGCCCACCCTCCGCCCTGCGCTGTGGTCAGGACGAATTCCCTCCCTGGTGTGGGGTCCTTCCTGGTGGCCTGCAGCTGCCGGGAGGCCAGAGCTGCCTCTCCTCTCGGGTCTCCACCTGGAGGCAGCCTGGCCACCTGGGAGGACCCCGGRAGGCCGCGTCCCTCCTGCGTCTCCGAGGCCACAGAGCCTCTTGGTTGCAGGCYGAGTGACATCAGGGGGCTGGGTGGGCCCTCGGCACCTCGTCACAGGGTGGGCTTCTCCTCGAAGCCCCTCCTCCAGGACAGGCCTCCAGCCAGGAAGGCAGAGCCTGGGCCACCGGCACCGCCGGGCGGACGGGGGGCGGCAGATGGCTGTGTGAAGCCCTCTTGTCCCCGCAGGGAGAGGTGGTGCCACATGACGCAGGAGGAGCGGGACGACAGCCTGCGGTTCCACGAGAACATCACCTTCGGGCAGCTGGGGTAAGAGCGGCGGGCAGCCCCGACCGGCAGCCATGGCCTCCGCCCTCGGAGTGGAGGACTGAGGCCCGCTGGCCTCCCTCCTGCTCTCGAGTCCCCTCCGRGCACCGCGGGGGCAGCTCCCAGGGCTGCTGGCTCCCGAGGCACCTGTGCTCTGCCTCTGGCTGGCCACCCGGGCGGGCCCCACGCGGGACCTCCGGCCCAGGGGSCGTCTCAGGTCCCTCCCGCAGCGGGAGCGGGAGGTGACGGCCGTGTTCCCTTCCAGCACCTTCACCCACAACATGCTGGCCTTCGGGCTGAGCAAGACGCTGTGCCGCGAGTTCCTGAAGAAGCAGGCTGTGATCGGCCACCTGGACGAGGGTGAGCCCAGCCCGGCCACCGCCCGGGCACCTGGGGGCGGGAACCCGGGCGGGTTCGGGTGGCTCCTCTTCTCTCCCAGGCCATGCAGACAGGAAGTCCCCATGTCTGGAGACGGAGCGGCAGGGTGGACAGGGGCCGTGTCTGGAGACGGAGCGGCAGGGTGGACAGGGGCCTCCTGCTCCCCCGCCCAGCGAGGGTCGGGGGTGAACCTGTGCTTGGCGCTCTGAGCCTGATCAAACCCAGCCACCGGTCCACCTGATGGCCCCCTGTGGTTCTTGGATCCCACCCCGCAGAGCCGTGCAGGGTTGCCACGCCCTGTTCCAGCAGGGGCAGCGGCACTCTGTCTTCTGGGGTCCCCAGGACATAGGCTGGCCATCGCGGGCCTCTGAGGCTGTCCTCCATAAGAGGACATTCCTAGGCCCACTGGAAACTCGTGCCCGCAGCGTGCTGGTGCCGAGCTGGTCACCAAGCACCCTGTGCACAGCCCTACCTGGAGGGTGGCAGAGGGCCCACAGTGGCCTGGAGGGTGCCCGTGGCCGGGCCTGGGGGGAGCTGTGGGGCGCCTGACCTGGCCACCCCCTCTCTTCACGGTGACGTCGTCTTCTCTTCCAGAGCAATACAAGCTGCTCAGTGACCACATTGAGCRGATGGCCACTGAATAGGAGACGGAGGGCCTGTGCTACTGTCCAGGGCAGCCACTGGCTGTCCCCACCTCTGACCCTGCATGACACCAGCGGCCCCGGGGCTGCGCCGCGCAGCCCTGGAACTAGCGGTTAGAAGAACCCGGCTGTGTCCTCCCCTCCCTGCTGCCTGCGTCGGCCCCATCCGTGTGCCGGAGTGTCCCTTGGGTCACATGGCTACAACGAGGGACCTCTGCACCCTCCGTGCTAGGCTGGGARTGGAGAGGGCGAAGGAGCCGCCTCYGCACCTGCTGAGGGCCAGAGGGGCAGGCTGGGCTCGGAGGTGGACGAGTGTGTGGGCACTGCAGGGCCGCGAGTGAAGGCTGGGCACCGTGGCTGTGGGACAGTCCTGGAGGCCACCAGGGCAGGGTGGCCGGCCTCCCTGTGCAGTGGACTCTGCTCGCTCTCTGTCCCCTCTATGATGGGAACAGGAGTCACAGGGACCAGGAGGACAGACACGCCCTATTTGAGAGAAGGAGAAAGAGACACTCGGGTAGGGACACTCCTGCCATCCCAGGTCACCCAGGGCTCTCAGCCTCCCAAACGCAGGGCYGCTGAGCTTCCTTCTAGAACTGAGGACGTCCCCAGTGGCCAGGAGCCACGCCGTGGTCTGTCCCGTGAGAGGAGCCTCACAGCAGCTGGACAGTGGCGTCCTTCCCGGAGGGACGGCCCCGCGCTCCTGTCATCAAAGGCAGGGACATTGAAGACTCGTGTCACTGAAGCAGCTCTAGCGAGGCTGCGGGCGGTGGGCAGCGTGGACCCTCGGCTCCGAGCTCTGAGCGCAGGCCTCCACCCTACAGCCTCCTCCGGGAGCCGCGGGGACCTCTGCAGCCCAGCCCGGGCCTCCGCGTGGCTCTCCCTCCTGCCCTCCCTCCTGCCCTTCGACGCCCTTCAGCCACAGCCAGGACCTGGGCTTCCTCTGCGTGTGCCAGGCCACCTGTGGGGACGGAGTGCAAGCCCCAGCGCCCGGCGTGCTGGCCCAGGCCTGCTGTTCCCCGTGTGGACAGCAGCTGGGTTCCCTCTGCCTCTGGCCGCTGCTGTTCTGGCCGCTGACCTTGATGCCAGCCGTGGGCTCCTCCTGGGGCCCCTCTTCCCTCGTCCCCCTCAGTGCACAGACTGAGCCACGGGCTCCCCCCGAGCACCACCGACCCAGCCTGATGGTTACCCTGACGGTCACCCCCAGTGCCCAGGAGCCTCAGTCACTTGCCCTCGCCAAGCTGCCCTGGAGGGGCCGGCCCCGCCAGGCCCCCAGGGTGACGTGGAGGTCTCTCCCGGGTGTCACCAGTGTCACTGAACTGCGTGGGCTTCACGGCGTCCACGACACCCACCTGGGTGTGGAGGATGCCTGCCCCTCTGACCCCGAGGGCTTCAGAAGCACCCTGAGACCGCCCCGTGGGCCCTGGGGCGAYGGCTCGAGGAGGGACGTGGACGTGGCCTCTCCTTGATCCTGGGTCTCATAGACCTGGCTCAGAGCCGGGGTGAGTCTGACCCCGAGAAGCGTCACCCACTGGGCGTGGCCCACTCAGCACTGCTGGGACAGAGCTGGCCTCTGGGGAYGTGGCGGCCCCCCAGATGCCATGTGAGAGCAGCACAGTCCCTCAGGGTCCCCCACTGTCCCCTGCCGGCAGCTGGCTTCGGTGAGCAGTTCACTCTCAGGTCTCCCTGGCCAGTGTCTCCAGGAGGCCGGTCAGTGTGACGGAAGGCCTCAGCCGGCCCCCTCCCAGGGCGTGGCCACGTGTAAGGACTTGGGCGTGACTCTGACACCCTGCTGGGCACCAGGCACTGCAGATGGGCACAGGGGGCGCCTCCTGCTTCCCACGAGGAGCTCCCAGCCCCTGCAGGCCGGGCGCGGGCAGCTGGAGCTTCCAGGGCTGTCATCCAATTTCCTGCCGCCTCCTGACCTCCTGGGCCACCTGACCCCTGCTGAGGCAAAACAGCGCGCTCCTCGCAGGGGGACACCTGCTTCAGGAGCAGGACCGTGGGCGACGGGCCAGAACGTCCCTGCCCGTGAGGGCCGTGCCCGTGTCCAGGAGGGCCGTGCTCAGTCCAGCTTGCAGTCGGCTGTCAGGACGGGGGCCTTCGGCCGAGAGCTCAAGACCACGAGAGGACAGAGGAAAGGCCWGTCTCCATCTGTACGGCAGCCCCCGATGCCCACGTCCGTCCACAGAACGCGGGGCCTAGAACCAGGCCACAGCGTAGACCCGAGGCCCGTTCAGAGCCAGAGCCACGTCTGCCCAGTGTCCTCCCTGCCCTGAGTGGAGGCGGGGCTGGCGCTACAGCCGCCCGCGGGCAGAGGGTCTCGCGGGGCAGAGGGTCTCGCGGGGCAGAGGGGCCCGCGGGGCAGAGGGTCTCGCGGGGCAGAGGGGCTCCTGGGGCAGAGGGGCCCACGGGGCAGAGGGGTTCTTGGGGTAGAGGGTCTCGCGGGGCAGAGGGCCTTGCAGGGTAGAGGGTCTCGCGGGGCAGAGGGTCTTGCGGGGCAGAGGGGCTGTTGGGGAAGAGGGTCTCACGGGGCAGAGGGACTCGCGGGGCAGAGGGCTGCAGCTGTGAGGCCTGCCCCGTGGCTGCCCTCTGGCCTCCTGCCACCCAGGAGCACTGGCTGTCCCGGGCTCCTGGTGAGAGGGACTGGGCGTCCCACCGTGAAGGAGAGTGAAAGATTCCAGCCCGCGGGGCCTGGAGCTGCCCGCCGACCCTCCTGGTCACGCTGACCGTGGCTCTTGAGTCCTCAGGGGTCCAGGCAGGCCCGATGGTCTCACCAGCTCTACACCAGTCACCTGGAATGCTCACGTGGGCAGCGGGGAGTCCAGGGCATTTCAAAGCTGGAGAGCCCCTTGTTGGGGGAGAGGGAAGGGACTCTTGGGTGGAGTGGCCCAGCCTCGGGAGGCCTCCGCAGGCCCCTCCGGCTCCTGGCTCCCCTCGCTCCTCTGCACCCCGCCCAGCTGCCTCCTGCACGTCCTCCAAGCCACTCACCATGGGCAGGTCCCCGGGCTCCGTTTCCTTGAAGAGCTTTGGGTTAGGGGAACCGCACTGGCCGGACGTGCCTGGCGGACTGGTGGCAGTGTTCAAGTGTCCACACCGGCCAGCCGGCCTGTCTGTCCTCCCCGTCACCCCCTCCCGGGCCTGAACAGGAGGGCGTTGGCGATCAGGGAGCAGAGGGCGGAGCGCTGYGGGTGGTCCGCCCGGCAGGCACACCCCCCAGGACCGTCCCACGGGCTCTGGAGAGGCGTCCCTCTGAGCTCTGTCCCACTTACACCTCGTGGCCTGTGTGTCTGGGGTCCCTGGGGAGGATGGGTCGCAGGACCTTCGTGGGGCCAGCCTGCCCACCGCCAGTGACCAGGCCCGTCCTGGTGCCGTCCTCAGTTCAGCTGACTCAGTGTCCCTTGGCATCATCTAGACAGTGGCGCCTGTGCCCTCCTCACTCCTGGACGATGTGCCCCAGAGGAAGGGACAGAGGGTCTCGGCACCAGGAAAGCTAGGCTGGCCTGGGCGGGGCTCTGGCAGGGTGGGCACCCAGCCCTCCCCTGCAGGGGACAGTGAAGCTCTGGGCACCCTAGGGGCAGAGTCCAGCCTACTTGCTGGGGACTGTCCCTTCCAGCGTCAGTGGACAACCTGAGAAGTTTCCGTCACACATTCCACCAGCAGGAAGCCACTCGGACAGCACGTGTCCCCTTATGACAGCGAGGTCGGGATCGGCTGACCACAGCCTGCCCGCGCCCTGTGCTGCTGCTGGAACCCTCGGGGTGGTCACCCTGCGCCCTTGTCCCCTTCTGAGTCTGTCCTGGGCCCATCCTGGCCTCTAACCCTCTCCTTTGTGGCGACCCCATGATGCCAGTGTTTTCTGTGTTAAGTGGCCTCGTGTCCCTCAGGTGACGTCCTAAGAGTATATTTTAAGGTTGAGAAAGTTTCGAGGTTGAAGATCTCAAAGCAGCTGAAATCGCAGCTGTTCCCTGGGGAGGAGGAAATGCCTGTGTCTGTGCCACACCTCGGACGCTCGGAGGTGAAACGGGAATAAATTATCTTTTTAAAAACGGTGTGATCTCGTCTGTGAGCCTGCCCACGAGGACTTTGGGCTGCATTTGCAGTCTTCGCAGTCACGTCAGAGGCCTGGGGCGTAGCTCAGAGGGGGAGCACTGGCCTAGCGTGACCTGGACCCTGGCCTCCATCCCTAGCACCAGAAAGAGGGGGGGGGCAGTTAAGGGTCAGGTGGGTGGCTCCGCAGGAGAAACCGACTTCTCCCCAAGGCTGCGCCCTGGGGTGAGAAGGCCAACGGCCAGGAAGAGGAGCAGCCCTGCGCATGGACGGCGTGGCCACTTGGGGTCAGTGTTAGAGAATGAAGGTCTGCTCCTGGGCTGGAACCCAGCTGGGCCACGGTATGGCCTCCCATGGAGGGGACCCTAATCCTGCCGTCCTCGAATCCCGTCCAACTGTCTCACCTTTGGGGCGGCAGGCTCCACGGCCCGGCACCCACCTAACCYGAGCCCACTCTCCCAGCTGGGCTGCCTGGCTTCCATGGGCAGCCCCTGGTAGCGGCTCCAGTGCTCTGGCCTGGCAGGGGCCCGAGAGCCTGGGCCAGTAGCACAGCAGGCTGCAGGGACCCCCAGGCCAGCAGCTGGGGTGGGAACCGCGCCCCTTGGTGGCTCTGGAGGGCAGGACCCCCAAGTGGACTGGGCACACTCCCTGCCACTTGGGGGTACTGCCCCTCTCAGCCAGTGTGCAGGGAGGCCTGGCCAGTGGGGCTGCAGGCCTGGGGTGCCCTGGACCTCTCCCTGTGCCAGGGGGATCCCACTGTCACAGGGGCAGCCCTGGCTCAGGGGCCAGCTCCAGGGAGAGGCGGCTCCTCTTGGGGCCAGGGCAGGGGCAGGGCTGACCACCTCCCCAGCAGACCCCGCGCCTCAGCCAGACCTTCGGGAGCCTGGTGTCCCCGCTGCACACAGGCGGGAGAACGCCACCCACGGGCCCCGTCCTGTGCCAACACGAGGAGCTCGACCGAGGGCAGAGCTGAGCTGCTCACCGCCCACCCGCCTCCGTGCGGAMGTGGACCCCGAGGGGCTCCGCGGCCAGTGTCCTGCTAGGGAAGGAAAGGGACCACTTCCCCGCCTTGTTTCATGGGAACACATTTATTATTCAAAATTTACAAAACTAAACACTCAGAGAGAACGCGCTCGAACTTCCAAAGCTGCTTCTCCGCCAGGCCGCGGCCTTTCACCCCCGGCCCATGGACGCTGCCAGCCCCCTGTGCCGTGTCCCCGGGACTCCCCCCCCCACCGACTCTTCAGGTAGCGCTGGCTCGGGCCACAAGCAGCTGGCCCCGGGGAGCACCGCTTCTCTGCCAAAGTGGGGACCAGCACTCTGTTCAGTCCCCTGGTTCCCTGGGAGGGGACCACAGGGCTTTGTTCCTCCTGTAGGTAGAAACCTGCACAGGTAGCCTTGGGGACGGCCGGGCGGGGGGGGGCAGGTGGAGAAGGGTCTGTCCTCAGCGACCAGGAGAGAAAACCAACAGTGTGCAGGCAGGACTGGCGCCGAGGACAGAGACTCACCGCCAGGGGCCTCGTCCCCCTCCCCTCCTGCCCAAAGAAAGAATCTCGGAATTTTCTTGCTTCTTTCCAAGTGACCACCCAAGGAGGCAGTGACAAGGCAGCCCTTGGCGACCATCCAAGCTGCTCCTAGGAACAATGGGCCTCTCTGCTCGCTGGGGCAGCGGGGAAGAGGGAGGCCCTGCTCAGCCAGCTCACACTGGTGAGCACCCACTGCGTGCCAGGCGCTGCCCAGCCCCGGGACCACACAGGGCCAGCGCGGCCATCTCCCTCTAGAAACCACGAGTGCAGGTGGGACACGGCTGAGGTTAAAGAAGGTCCGCGTGGAAGGCGTGTGTGCTCACGGGTCCGCACAGACGGCGTAGAGCCAGGGGGAAAATACACAGTGTGACCACTCCCCGTGCAGAGTCATGCCGAGGACGGCCCACTGTCCACACCTCCTGCCCCGCGGACAGCTGGYGGGCCTCAGTTACCCTGGGAGGGAGCGTCCTGCTGGGCGAGTTGGGCGGCTCCTGCAGGGGTCCAGCCGTGGGACCTCTGGTCGTCAAAGTCACTGGGGGGAGGACGCTGGCCCCATAGGGATCCCAGAGGAGACCTGTGTCCCCCACTTTGCTGGTGAGCAAACCGTGGCACCCACGTGGGGGCCCAAACCCAGTGCTGCCCAGCTCAGAGGGGGGCGTTTGCCCACGAGGCMGGCTGGAGGCACCATGGGGCGGGCAGCCCCCAGCCACGGTCTTTGGGGGACTGACCACTGGGAGCACAGATGACCCTGATTCCGCACYGTGGCCCCTCACGGTGCCGAGAGGCTCCCGATGCAGCCTGGGACACGGCTGGGGGCACTTCCCTCCGGCTCCACGTCCCTGTGGGACATTCAGCCCGTTTGAAACTCTGCTGCCCACAGCATCACCATGGACGCTCGGCACCTCCCGGATTTCAGACGCAGGGAGGGGCTCCGAGGGGGGGGCTGGGACAGGCCACAGCCGAGCTCAGAGCAGCCTCCGTGGGGGTGGGGAGCCGCAGGTGCAGGGCCCACCTGCCCCAGGGCCCGGTCAGCCCCGTCCTCCCACCTGTC